ATCAGGGGGTCGTAGCGAGCGTATATTGACCAGGGTGTCGTAGCGAGCGTATATTGACCAGAGGGTCGTACCGGGCGTATATTGACCAGGGGGTCGTACCGGGCGTATATTGACCAGGGGGTCGTACCGGGCGTATATTGACCAGGGGCTCGTACCGGGCGTATATTGACCAGGGGGTCGTACCGGGCGTATATTGACCAGGGGCTCGTACCGGGCGTATATTGACCAGGGGCTCGTACCGGGCGTATATTGACCAGGGGCTCGTACCGGGCGTATATTGACCAGGGGGTCGTACCGGGCGTATATTGACCAGGGGGTCGTACCGGGCGTATATTGACCAGGGGGTCGTACCGGGCGTATATTGACCAGGGGTCGTACCGGGCGTATATTGACCAGGGGTCGTACCGAGCGTATATTGACCAGGGGTCGTACCGGGCGTATATTGACCAGGGGGTCGTACCGGGCATATATTGACCAGGGGGTCGTACCGGGCGTATATTGACCAGGGGGTCGTACCGGGCATATATTGACCAGGGGGTCGTACCGGGCATATATTGACCAGGGGGGTCGTACCGGGCGTATATTGACCAGGGGGGTCGTTCGCTCGCTGGCGTAAGAGATCCGTCAGCTGCGCAGACCTGGTCCAGTTGTGGGACCCGCTACGCACCTCTTCGTTGTGGGGACCGTCTTCCGTTGCTTCGTAAAGACGGAAGGGGGAGGAAAAGAGACGGGGGGAGAGGAGACGGGGGGGGAGGAGACGGGAGGAGAGGAGAGGAGACGGGGGAGAGGAGAGGAGACGGGGGGAGAGAAGAAGAGACGGGGAAGGGAGAGACAGAAGGTTCTAGACAGGAACTGCTGGTAAAGATCATGAATTGTATAATGAACTTTGAATTCTCAATGAATTTAATCTCTAAATCTCTAGAGACCCCAAACAGTGGGATTCGAACCCCCCTTAAAGCAGTGGAGTTCAAAACCTTAAAAACATAGGGGGTCCAAACCCTAATATCAATATAGTTTTCTATCCATTGCAAGGTAGCCACATATCGGGTCGTGCTTAACACAGGGGCCTGTGGCTGAGGGGACAGCGCTTAGGACTCGTAATCTTATTCCCTGCGGAAACAGATAGGCAGAGTTTCACCCTGAAAGCCCCTGTTACCTAGCAGTAAATAGGTACCTGGGAGTTAGACAGCTGCTACGGGCTGCTTCTTGTGTGTGTAAAGGAAAAAATAGTAATGGTTGATTGACGGGAGAGGCGGGACCAAAGAGCCAGAGCTCGACCCCCGCAAGCACAACTAGGTGAGTACAGCCAGGATTGATCCGAAGCCTAACATGGCGAGCGGGAGCTAATTAAGAACACACAAAATGACTTGAAATTTATATAGAGAGTTAGACCCCCTGTAATCACTGGTCATCAGCAGGGTGTAGGGGCTGGCTCCTGTCTCAGACTCCACAGACCAGCCATTACGAATTACCTTGTTTGGAAGGCTGGGCTAACTACCTATACCCTCCTCCGCCTCACCCCGTCTCTCTACGACATCCCCAAATGAAGAACTCTACAGTGGGGTCATACTGTAGGGGAGTTATTATCTTTGGCAAAAAGGAAAATTGTTTTTTAAAGGTTAACAATTTACATAAATCTGGCGGGGTGCTTCTCTCAGTTGTTGACCGTCGCCGGGCTGAGGAATTTGGCGCGAAGGAGAGGTGCCAGCTACATGATATCTGTTGCCTGAGATTTTCTATGCCTTTCTACCTTGTAATTCATTTTAGGGTTTATGTTTTTTTTCTGAAATAAACCCAATGTGTGTTATTGGGTGGTGTTAATGACTGGAGAAGATCGCAGTGAGTGTAATGTTGGCATATCAACTCAAAGTTGCTGTCCTGGACACATCGCTCATCTGGCAACGCGGCCTCTCTCGTACAGAACATTCCACTGCTTCATTATAAAACAAACCAAAGTTTGTCCCAGGGTTTAATATCCAGCCAGTGATTAAAACTATCCAAGTTGTTGCATTTTTGCAACTGCTTGCAGCCACTGAGCAGCGAGGAAGGGCTGCAGGAGTGTCGGGTTGATCGTGCGTCTGGCAGCGCGGAGGTTTCCCACGTTAGGATAAATTTTCTCAGAGTAACCACACGAGCAGTGTTGCCAACCCCGACGATTCCCACGCTAACGGCGCTACCAACCTCCGCGTCCGGGAACATTCGATACCGCGTCGTCTAGGTCCTGAGGCTCGCAGGCGGCGCAGGAGGCCCTGGCGGAGGCGCAGGTGGCGCAGAGGCCAGGCCAGAGGGACGCTGGTGTTGGTGTTAGCTCGGCGGCGGGGTTCGAACTGGGGGTTAATTAAAGTCTGTGTGAAATGGAAGGTTGGCGGCAGTGATCGTGGGAACGTTGTAACGGCTGAGCGGAGTTTAAACACACACCACCGCCCTGTCTCTCTCCCCCCGCCCCCCTCCTCCACCCTGTCTCCCGCCCCCCTCCTCCACCCTGTCTCCCGCCCCCCCTCCTTCTCCACCCTGTCTCCCCCCCTCCTCCACCCTGTCTCCCCCCTCCTCCACCCTGTCTCCCACCCCCCCTCCTTCTCCACCTTGTCTCCCCCCCTCCTCCTCCACCCTGTCTCCCGCCCCCCCTCCTTCTCCACCCTGTCTCCCCCCCTCCTCCACCCTGTCTCCCTCCCCCCCTCCTCCACCCTGTCTCCCACCCCCCCCCCTCCTCCACCCTGTCTCCCGCCCCCCTCCTCCTCCACCCTGTCTCCCGCCCCCTCCTCCTCCTCCACCCTGTCTCCCGCCCCCCCCTCCTCCTCCACCCTGTCTCCCGCCCCCCCCCCTCCTCCACCCTGTCTCCCGCCCCCCTCCTCCTCCACCCTGTCTCCCGCCTCCCCCCCCCTCCTCCACCCTGTCTCCCGCCCCCCTCCTCCTCCACCCTGTCTCCCGCCCCCCCCCTCCTCCACCCTGTCTCCCGCCCCCCCCCTCCTCCTCCACCCTGTCTCCCGCCCCCCCCTCCTCCACCCTGTCTCCCGCCCCCCCTCCTCCTCCACCCTGTCTCCCACCCTCCTCCTCCTCCTCCACCCTGTCTCCCACCCTCCTCCTCCTCCACTCTGTCTCCCACCCTCCTCCTCCTCCTCCACCCTGTCTCTCACCCTCCTCCTCCTCCTCCACCCTGTCTCCCACCCTCCTCCTCCTCCACTCTGTCTCCCACCCTCCTCCTCCTCCTCCACCCTGTCTCCCGCCCCCCTCCTCCTCCACCCTGTCTCCCGCCCCCCCCTCCTCCACCCTGTCTCCCGCCCCCCCTCCTCCTCCACCCTGTCTCCCGCCCCCCCTCCTCCACCCTGTCTCCCGCCCCCCCTCCTCCTCCACCCTGTCTCCCACCCTCCTCCTCCTCCTCCACCCTGTCTCCCACCCTCCTCCTCCTCCACTCTGTCTCCCACCCTCCTCCTCCTCCTCCACCCTGTCTCTCACCCTCCTCCTCCTCCTCCACCCTGTCTCCCACCCTCCTTCTGGTAGGTCGCTCTATTCATAAGAATAGAGCGACCTACCATGAACACTCAAATCACGGAACTATTTACTCTACCCACCATGAGAGTAAGGACAAGACAAGAACATATCGATGCCAACACAGAAGACAATGTCCAACATAACAGGCCAATTACACTGGATTAATCTTTGTGTTTAGATAGGAGATGCCTCGTATGGGCCAATAAGCCTTCTGCAGCCCCTATGTTTATCCCTTATGTATCCCCCCATGTTTTTCACCTTCATTGTATTATCACCTGACCTAATGCGGGTATAAAATCAACTAGTATTGTAAGATTGTTCACTTGAGAATGAACCATGGAGGTTCGAAACGTCGTGCAAATTATACAAATAAGTGTAATACACTCTATAGTAAATCACTTCTTTTCTTCACCTTAAAAGTACGAAAATGAGTTTTGGAGAACTCCTATTCCAATTAAGCCCTGATGCTAAGAAAATAGTTAGAGGGATAGAAGCCCTAAACCAGAAAATAATAAATACAGAATATGCGGTCATATTCAATGAAAAAAATATATATATATATATATATATATATATATATATATATATATATATATATATGTAAGACATAAACATAAGATATAAACTTATGTTCATGTCTTAAGACGTAATGAGACACATTTGCATCGATTCTTGTCACTATACTGTCTCGCTATTTGAAGATGCTGTCTTGGTCTAGCTGGTTAATGTACCTCGCAGTATATCATGTGTGTTGTGATCATATCCCCTCGGGTGGGGTGGGGGAGGGGGGGGGAGGGTGGGGGGGAGGGTGGGGGGGGAGGGGGGAAGTGGGGGTGGGGGTAGGGGAGGCGGGGAGTTGAACCAGGGTCCAAGAAAGGTGTCTGAGCTCCACCTGAACATCTCGGCTACTGGACGCCACAACTCACTCCCGACTCCTGACACCGGCCTCGACTTCACCTTCGTTTGATCACTGTCTTCCCTCCACACACACACACACACACACACACACACACACACACACACACACACACACACACACACACACACACACACACACACACACACACTCACACACTCACACACACACACACACACACACACACACACACACACACACATCTGTACACCAGTTGATTGACAGTTGAGAGGCGGGACCAAACAGCCAAAGCTCAACCCCCGCAAGCACAAATGGGTGAGTACAAATAGGTGAGTACAAACACACACACACACACACACACGAAGCCACACTATATCTAAAAACATTACAAAACCTCAGTATAAGAACGAAACGAGCGTTTGAGAATATATATATATATATATATATATATATATATATATATATATATATATATATATATATATATATATATATATATATAAGGTCTAAAAGAAGGTGCTGGAGAGAGAGGGGGACAGGAAGCCGGCGTGCGAGGGTCGGGAGCTGCTGCTGGAGCAAGATGGAGCACTCTCTCTGTCATTAGGGCTAGCCAAGGTCACTCAATCTGGACCAATTACACTCCCAAGATTTTTTTAAATTCGGGAGGCTCTTGTTGGTAGGTGGTCCTTGTAGGCAGGTGGTCCTTGTTGGCAGGTGGTCTTAGTAGGCAGGTGGTCCTTGTTGGTAGGTGGTCGTTGTTGGTAGGTGGTCCTTGTTGGCAGGTGGTCTTAGTAGGCAGGTGGTCCTTGTTGGTAGGTGGTCGTTGTTGGCCGGTGGTCCTTGTTGGTAGGTGGTCGTTGTTGGCCGGTGGTCCTTGTTGGTAGGTGGTCCTTGTTGGTAGGTGGTCGTTGTTGGTAGGTGGTCGTTGTTGGCCGGTGGTCCTTGTTGGCAGGTGGTCCTTGTTGGCAGGTGGTCCTTGTTGGCCGGTGGTCCTTGTTGGCAGGTGGTCCTTGTTGGCAGGTGGTCCTTGTTGGCAGGTGGTCTTTGTTGGCCGGTGGTCCTTGTTGGCAGGTGGTCCTTGTTGGCAGGTGGTTTTTGTTGGCAGGTGGTCGTTGTTGGTAGGTGGTCGTTGTTGGTAGGTGGTCCTTGTTGGCAGGTGGTCCTTGTTGGCAGGTGGTCCTTGTTGGCAGGTGGTCTTTGTTGGCCGGTGGTCCTTGTTGGCCGGTGGTTCTTGTTGGCAGGTGGTCCTTGTTGGCCGGTGGTCTTTGTTGGCCGGTGGTCCTTGTTGGCAGGTGGTCTTTGTTGGCAGGTGGTCCTTGTTGGCAGGTGGTCCTTGTTGGCAGGTGGTCCTTGTTGGTAGGTGGTCCTTGTTGGCCGGTGGTCCTTGTTGGCCGGTGGTCCTTGTTGGCCGGTGGTCCTTGTTGGCCGGTGGTCCTTGTTGGCCGGTGGTCCTTGTTGGTAGGTGGTCCTTGTTGGCCGGTGGTCCTTGTTGGCCGGTGGTCCTTGTTGGCCGGTGGTCCTTGTTGGCAGGTGGTCCTTGTTGGTAGGTGGTCCTTGTTGGCCGGTGGTCCTTGTTGGCCGGTGGTCCTTGTTGGCAGGTGGTCCTTGTTGGCCGGTGGTCCTTGTTGGCCGGTGGTCCTTGTTGGCCGGTGGTCCTTGTTGGCAGGTGGTCCTTGTTGGCCGGTGGTCCTTGTTGGCAGGTGGTCTTTGTTGGCCGGTGGTCCTTGTTGGCAGGTGGTCCTTGTTGGCAGGTGGTCCTTGTTGGCAGGTGGTCTTTGTTGGCCGGTGGTCCTTGTTGGCCGGTGGTCCTTGTTGGCAGGTGGTCCTTGTTGGCCGGTGGTCTTTGTTGGCCGGTGGTCCTTGTTGGCAGGTGGTCTTTGTTGGCAGGTGGTCCTTGTTGGCAGGTGGTCCTTGTTGGCAGGTGGTCCTTGTTGGTAGGTGGTCGTTGTTGGCCGGTGGTCCTTGTTGGCCGGTGGTCCTTGTTGGCCGGTGGTCCTTGTTGGCCGGTGGTCCTTGTTGGCCGGTGGTCCTTGTTGGTAGGTGGTCCTTGTTGGCCGGTGGTCCTTGTTGGCCGGTGGTCCTTGTTGGCCGGTGGTCCTTGTTGGCAGGTGGTCCTTGTTGGCCGGTGGTCCTTGTTGGTAGGTGGTCCTTGTTGGCCGGTGGTCCTTGTTGGCCGGTGGTCCTTGTTGGCAGGTGGTCCTTGTTGGTAAGTGGTCCTTGTTGGCAGGTGGCTCTTGTTGGCAGGTGGTCCTTGTTGGCCGGTGGTCCTTGTTGGCCGGTGGTCCTTGTTGGCCGGTGGTCCTTGTTGGCAGGTGGTCCTTGTTGGCAGGTGGCTCTTGTTGGTAGGTGGTCCTTGTTGGCCGGTGGTCCTTGTTGGCCGGTGGTCCTTGTTGGCAGGTGGCTCTTGTTGGCAGGTGGTCCATGCTGCCAGGTGGTCCATGCTGCCTGGTGGTCCTTGCTGCCAGGTGGTCCATGCTGCCAGGTGGTCCATGCTGCCAGGTGGTCCATGCTGCCAGGTGGTCCATGCTGCCAGGTGGTCCATGCTGCCAGGTGGTCCATGCTGCCAGGTGGTCCTTGCTGCCAGGTGGTCCATGCTGCCTGGTGGCCCTTGCTGCCAGGTGGTCCATGCTGCCAGGTGGTCCATGCTGCCAGGTGGTCCATGCTGCCAGGTGGTCCATGCTGCCAGGTGGTCCATGCTGCCAGGTGGTCCATGCTGCCAGGTGGTCCTTGCTGCCAGGTGGTCCAT